GTTCATTAGCACTGACCTCTGTTAGATTAAATGACCTTGAGGTCTCACACTGTTTGCAGTTAAATTCTCTGTTGTCTGAGCCATTACTGGCAATGCAAATCAGTGTCTCCCATCAGCTAAGGTTCCTATTCACTTTACATGACGCATGAAATAAGCTGATGCGTAGCGAATAGAAGTTTTCACAGCAGGGAGAATGTTCAAAGCATCTAAGGAAGGAAGGGAGGGAGCATGTATTTAAAGCTATGCTGTCAACTAGGGAATTCAGTTCCTTAAAAATCCACAAGGAGCTTATGTGTGTCTGTAGGTGTCTGAATACCTTTCAAGAAATGCACCCAGCACCAAATATTGTGATATCAATGGTAAATAAGTCTGGGTTGAAGCCTGGGTTCTATTTCCATTTGTATTCCTATTTCTGTGACTAGCTATGTGACTCTTACTCTTTGTGCCCCAACCTTCTCACTGCGAATATTTATATAAGCTGCTAAAATAAAATGAAGTGTCTGTACACGAACTGTTTTCTCTCCAGCTCTAGGCTTTGATCTGGTCACCTACTCATGAAGATCCTACATGCCTTAGACTGTGGCGTGAGGTTTCACTGAATTTTGATGAGCTTTGAGATACTTGAATGGAAGGCGATATTAATATATTAATATCAATATAATATATATGAAAGGCATAATTAATATAATTTATATTAATATACAAAAAGTCTCCTTTGAGAAGTGCCTTAATGACAAACATTCCCTTCTGTGAGTCTTCCTAGAAGGCAAGAGTCATAAAGGAATACAAATACCTGTGCATTAGCACAGGTAAAGCATGAATCTGGCGTGTCAGGGGCTATCAGGCAATCATCATTTCTAGTCATTGGATACAAATGAGTGTCTCTTAAAACAACACATTAACAGTCTAAAACAAGTCATTAAGGATTACTGCACACCACCAAAACATTGCCATTTATAACACACCTATTATCAATGCCCTTCTCCGTTGCAGCTTCTAATTATCTGAATTTGACACTGATTAAGTGCATTTATGGCTTAGAAACTGAAATAAGGCAGTATGTTAGAGGAAGATAACACAACTTACCCCGGTAAAACCGTAGTGGGTTTTTTAGACCTAAATTTGTCCTTCGAATACTGGTTTGAATAATGCCTGTCATTTTTATTTTACTGATGGCTTTTGCCTTCTTCTTGAGGCCGTCTGAAACATTTCCTTCTGGAGTTCCAGCACAGATGACTGTTACCTACTATTACCTTTATTCAGATTAATTCCTTAATCTTTTTCCCCTTGTATTTCATATACTCAAGCCACAGAACATAGGAAAGAAACACGGTTTGGAGAGAACTCAGTCTTATTTTTAGTCCCCTGTAAAGGTCAGGAGTTTTGTCTTTATTTCTATATTAAATGCATTTGGTTTCTTTTTTTAAAGGGAGCCATATTAAGTGCTGTCTTATTTACAGCATCACTGCTTGCAATATCCCAGTGACGTGGGGTATTCAGATTCATCTGAGATGGAGATGCACTTTTCTTTATAGACTAAGCACAGATTATGTTATAGTGCTGGGCTTTGAGACTTTAAACCTAATTTGCCTCCTCAAGGACTGTGAGCAAGCTGGAAGCTCACTGGGTATGAATGACTTCCACATACAAATGACGAGCTAACATTTTTGTTATTGAAACCACATTACACAACTGCTACCTTTATGCAGATTCCTTCAATATTCTTGATTATATTTCTGGGCATTAGGAAGACAGCTCTCGTCAGACTTTGTGAATAAACTGATTGAGGTTAAAGCAGCTGTTTGTTTCTTGCCAACGGGCAATCATAATGTCTTTTACGTAAAACAGAGCCAAACAGACATAGCTTAGTTGTTCCTTTGCTCTTCCTACTTTACCCTCACTTGATATGGTAAATGTGTACAGGTGATTTATCATTTCCAACACAATGAGTTGTGGCGTTGGAAGGGATGGTGGTACCTGCGGTACAACTTCATAGATCCACCCTGGAAAAATGTGGATCCTATTTTCATGATATTTTCTAAAGAAGGTGAGAAGAAGTACACAAAATGCATGATCATCTAAAGAGAATAATTTCCCAAGAGTATCAGTAGGATCTTTTGTTCTACACATCTCCTTTAATGTAAGTACAGTCCTTGAAAGCAAGCAGGTGCCAGCAGAATCCTGGGTCTCAAGGGAAGGGGAAAGCAAGAGAAAGAACAGGTGATTCCTAAGGCAGAAAGAAATCACTGAGTTTAAGACAAGGTCAAAAGAAACCAGGCTTTCTTCCTACAAGATGCTGAACATTCATTTCCAATGGTGTACCAACAGACCTCTTGTCAGCTGTGGACATACGCAGATACTACTTCTGACCATGGAGATGTGTATCTGACAAGTCTCCACTAATCAGTCATTAGCCTGTGATCTCAGGCTGTGAAATTAAGTGTTCTCACAGGTTTAAAGGTTATTATTGAGAAGCAAATCTTGTGGCTCTTGTTTGTGCTTAGTAAGAAATAGTAAGGAAGTTGCGGATGGTTAAGTAGAGGAATGGGATGGCTGAGATCACCGGCTGGTGGAGAAGAGGATTAAAGGGAAACCAGCTTCACTCACTGTTTGAAAGAGAGGTGACAAATCTCCAGAGGCAAGTAGGAAGGAGATGTCTTCAGACATCTGCATCCACTCTTCATCTGTTCTTCATTCTACGGGAAGAGATGTGAGGACTACCAATCTAGTGTTGACTTTTGAATCGTGTTACAGTCTCATTTTGGAAACCAACTGCAGGGAGTAATACCAGATAATCAGGGCTGCTACTTAGCTCTCCTAAGGGTTTTGCATCCGTGGACAGCAAATCCCTTTAATTGGTGTCATTATCCACATTTCACAGGTGGAAAAGGTCACACAGAGAAATGTGGAGTAACCTGACAGAGGAGGCACAGAGACAGGAACCGAGCACAGCACCTTAATTCTTAAGACCGTGTTAAGTCATCGAGATGCCAAGAACTGCAGGAATTAGTTGCAGCGTTATTCAAAGAGCATGTGAAGGATGGGGTATAGCAGAAGATGCCTTCCACTGCCTTCAGTGAAGCTGAGATTTTACATGGGCATTGGGTGTGGTAGAAGCAGTAGCCTTTTATACCATACAAGCTGCACGTGTTAAACATGACTTTAGTTACGCTCCTCCAGGCAGTTCTAATCCTGAGAACCTATGATATGAAAACATCGGGCAGACAGATAATGGTGACTGTAGGATTAACAAACTCTACACAATGGGGAGAGGCAAAAATAGGAAAATAAATGTGGAATTAGAGAGTTTTGAAATTTTAAACAAACTGGAAGCTTTCGGACAGTGTTGCCTGAAAAGTGATGAAATACTCTGGAAGTGAAATCATAGAAGATAGTTGAATGGACAAAGCTATCAGTAAATGGGCCTGTTTAGCATGTTCTGCTTTGTCCTGTTTGAGGACACAGTTTGAGGACAGAATGATGGAACACTGGCTGTTTTAGTCTGACTTACTACATATCCCTGGCCAGTAGATTTTATCCAGTTATACCTATGGTAAACCCAACTACTTCCATTGGGATGCAGTATATTTTCCACAAAGACATCTTGTTTGGAGATTTCCAGAGAATAAAGCACACCTTCCCTCCGTCATTTGTGCCAAAGATCACTGGCTCCCATTCATAACAGTTATAGTTTGAATTTCTCCAACTTCAGCTTCTAGACATTGACTCTATATTATTCTTTTCCTTTACAAAATTAAAGGACCTTTTAACTCCTGGTGTTTTCCCTATGAAGATATGTACATGCTGTTAGCAAACTGCATCTCCTTTGTAGTATGGTGAGCAGTCTGACTTCTTGTTATAGAATCCTCCAACCAGCTCTGTGGCTTGATGCTTCACTCTCACATCTTTTTCAGTGTGCTCCTCCTGTGTGTGCCAGCTGTGTAGCCAGCATCCCATGGGCAGCCTGGACACTGCAGCACAGGGAGAATAAAATGAACTGCTCGTGCCTCCTTTCCTTCTCACTCTTTACAAAGACATTGGGCAACCAGTTGTTCATGTGCCCAGCTTGTGCTTTGTTTATGTCTTTTTTAATCCAAGACAAACCGAATGATTTCATTCACTCAGCATTCTCCTGGAGGAGCTGCAGCATCCTGGCCTGTATCAGCACCAGTGCGGCAGCAGGGTCAGGCAGTGGTTGTGCCCCTGCACTGGGCACTGGTGAGGATGCACCTCGAAGCCTGTGCTCAGTTCTGGGCCCCTCACTGCAAGAGAGACATTGAGGTGCTGGAGCAGGGCTGGTGCAGGGTCCGGAGCACAAGTGTGATGGGGAATGGCTGAGGGACCTGGGGGGTTCAGTCTGGAGAAGAGAAGGCTCAGGGGGGACCTGATGGCTCCCTACAACTGCCTGACAGGAGGATGGAGCCAGGAGGGGCTGGGCTCTGCTCCCAAGGAACAAGGGATGGGACAAGAGAAAACAGCCTCAAGCTGCACCAGGGCAGGTTTAGATGGAGCTGAGGAACAATTCCTGCCCCAGAGGGTGCTCAGGCATTGGAACAGGCTGCCCAGGGCAGGGCTGCAGTCACCGTCCCTGCAAGTGTTCACACAGCGTGGAGACGAGGCCTCAGTGCCACGGGTTAGGGGTGGCCTCGGCGGTGTCTGGTTGATGGCTGGATTTGAAGATCCTGAAGGTTTTTCCCACCTATGTGACCCTGAGATTTACCAAGCCTGCTCAGCACGGAGGGGAGTCCTCACTGCGGCTGGGTCTCACACCCCATCACCCACGGGTCCATGAAGCCCCCAGCACACAACCGCCCCCCGGCTGCTGGGGACACAGGGACTGCCGGCTGGGGGGGAGCGCGGCGCAGACAGAAGGGGGGACCGGGTCCAGGCGGGTGATGGCCGCGGGGCTGCCCCGGGCTGGGCGGGCTGTGGAGGGGGTGTGACCGCCGCGGTGGCCGCTCCGCAGCGCCGCCTCCCCGCCCGCTCAGTGCCCCGGCAGCCGGGAGGCGGCGCGGAGGCTCCGCGCCTGCGGTGGGGCGCGGTGCGGGCAGCCCCCGAGCCCAGCCCAGCCCAGCCCCGAGCGATGCCGGCCGCCGCGCCACCGCCGCTGCACCCCGCCGCGGGCTCCTGCTGCCCCTATGGCCACTGCGCGGGTAAGCGCCGGTCCCTCGGTACCCCCATCCCTAAACGGGGTCTCGTTGGGAGCGAAGGGGGGTGTGAGGCGGCTCCGGCGAAACTTCCTTCCCCCCCCCGTCCTTGAGTGTGTGTGGGTCTGGTGGCGTTTGGGCTTGAGATGCGGGTGGGGAGAGACGGGGAAAGGAGCGGCTCCCGGTGGGAGAGGGGTTTGGGAGGCTCGGTCGGGCTGCCTGTGCTCCTTCCCACCTCGGCAGCCCTGCGAGGTACGCGAGAGCAAGCTGTGAAGCCTGAGGGTGCAGGCGGTGTTTGTTACTCCGAACGGCAGGCTCAGTGTCCCTTCCGATGTCGGTTGAAGGTTAGAAGTAACTTGCGCTCTTAGTGTAGTCTGTGCGAGCGTGGATCGCTTGGAACGGATGCTCGTGTGCTGCTCGGAGAGCACCGATGCTCTGCAAAGAAAGTAAACGGCACCCGGTGTAAGGAGCTTGAGTTGCAGAGCCGTGTGTTAAACGCACTTAAAGGGGGTGAATTTTCCTTCAGCTCGGAAATTGCTGCAGCTGGAGCTACGCGGGGTACGGGCTGGGACGCAGGGTCCCATGAGGATGCTGGCAGCCAAACCTCTCTGTGGGAAAATGCTGGTTGTGCCCTTGTATCTCCTGACTTTTGTAGTTACGCTGCTTATGTTTGCTCCTGTTTAATAGCAGGTACTTATAGGAAGGCTGTGTCCTAACTTTTCACTGCACAGCGTTATTTCCTGCCTTCCTTAGGGGACATTCAGTGCACAGTGTCAAGGGGACTGGACAGGCAACTGTTTTGAGCTTAATGGGGTGGTTTTCAGGTTGTCAGACACTGTTTGGACACCCCAAACTGAAACTTTAGCTGCGCTCTGTACTGAAAGGTTTCCTTTTAAAGCAAACCAACCAACCAACCCTTTGCAACAGTATGACAAAACTCTGCCTTCCTTCCTTCCTGGGCATTTGCATTGCAACCTGTGTTGTGTGAGGCGATAAAGAGTTTATTGCCAAGCCTTGCAGTGAATCATGCATGCTTTTACTGCTAGCTTTATGCAGAAATAGAAATCTACATCTGTGCTTGTTTGCATGCAAGTTTGTCTTCCCACCTGCCGGTCTCCTTTCCCTATAGCCACCCTCTTTCCTCTTGACACCTCTTGGGTACTTGTTGTATTTTTTATATGGTCTAAATGCAGTTTTGATTCTTCGAAGCGTTGAGAATCAGCAGAGTCCCAAAACAGCCAGCAAGTGAAACCGAGCTTACAAAACATATTACAGCTACGTGATGTGGTAGGAGTGCAGTTATTATAGCAACTCCGTCATGCTCTTCTCAGGAGGTGGCTGAGTTTTGTGTCTCAGGGAGGCATCCTGCAGCTCTCTGGATAAAAAGGATGTTGCAGGCTTAGAGTCTCTTTCTTGTAGGGTAATGGGTGTGGTGAAAGGGCATGGATGGCCCTTGCCATGAGCATTTGGGTGGGATGTTAGGACACATCAGCTGGGAACTGCTTCTAGGAAATCTCATCTGTGGTTCGTTAACCTGAATTGTTTAATTGGACTGTAACTGTCAGCAAAGATAAACTTGGTTTTAATTCAGGATATTGGCAGCAGTTCAAGCCTGTGAATTTCAGCTGGGCTAAACTTACCTTGTCTTTATTGTGGGGGTTTCTTTTGAGGGGGAATTTATACTCAAGTTAGTTACCTGGGGCGTGCTAACCTGACTTGTGGCTGTATCATTACCTGGTAGTGTCACTATGTGCTTTGTATCTGTCTGCACTGCTGCTTTTTCTGTTCCTGTTCTGCAGAGCGTCACAGCTTTGGCATCTGTGGGACTTGGAGCATGTGGTGACGAAGGGAAGTTGTGTGGGATTCATTTCCCCATTTCTGAGATTGCTTGGCTTAGTTTGTTTTTTTTCTTGCAGAAATATCTATAGTTGTGTAGAGATCAGGGAAGCCGGTGGTCCTTCCTTCTCTTCCCACAGCTCCAGGGTGAATTGGGTTGGTTTCTGTCGCTGCTTTTCCTCCTTTCCTTTGACTCGATTCCTGACCATTTGACAACATCGGGAATCGGAGTTATATGGATTTTCTTGTCAATATAGTCAGCATCAGAACATTATGGTGGCTTTAGCAGCCTCTGTTAAATCAGATCCAGGTCTCAGTGAAAGTAATGTGAATCTTTTAACTAGCTTCAGCACAACTTGGTTCAGAGCTGAAAAAGTTGTAGTTGAAAGAGCTGAATGTGACACTTCACAGTATCCCCTTTTCCAGGTTTTCCTCATTTTCAGGGTATGGGGTCTCTCCTTTTGGAGCATGCAGTAGATACTGGAAGCAATGAAAGAAAGGAAAGGGAGCTACTGCCTTCATTGGCTTTAATGCAGATTTGGAGTTTTGGTAGTGCTTGCATATTGTCCATCTCGCCTAGCAGCAGTTTGTCTTCACCGCAAAGGAAAGCCAGGCTCCTTTGCCATCTTCCCTCCGTTCCTGGTGTGATTTGCTCAGTCTAATTGTTGTAAGAATGCAAAACAAGCATTTGTGTCGGATATTCTCAGCAGAAGCACTCAGCAATCATTCCGAGAACACCCTCTCCCACTCAATCAGTATTGCTAGCCTGCACATACACTCCAATTTTTCACTTGTCACCCCAAATAGTGTTGTTAATGGAGACGCTGAGAAGTGTCTGCTGATATGAAAATCCTGATCTTTGCGCTTGTTGTCGTGCTTTTAAGCCTAATTAGCACTGGCTTAGAGTTTTCCCTGAGAAACCCATTCCCTTTTATAAGTTCCCCAAACCAAGTTATTTTGCGGTGTAGACTTTAATACATGAGTCTCTTCTGCAAAAGTGGCTCTGTAATAACGGGCTGGGAATTCTACATTTACATCCGAGTTAACATCTCTTCAATGTACTAAATTTCCAAAGAAAACTTTGGGGTAATTACCCCTTTTTTTGCAAACCAGATGGAGAATCAGACTCTGGCTGGGTCTTGTCTTTAGTTACGCAACAAGTTTATTGGTAATGAAGGATCTGGAAGCCTAATTAAACCCTCAGTGACACCTCTGCAAGCTCTCTTATTTGCAGTGGGTTTGCTCAGTTGCAACTGATTAGTCATCAAGCTGAGATTTGGGAAGCGATGCAAATAAAATCTCCCACAAGAAGAAACAGAATCCTGCTCCTTTGACTGAGGCACCGTCGGCTAACGGGGTTAGAAAGCAGTGAAAGCTTACTTTGTGCTGAATCATGAATAATTGATCTAAAATGTATGGTGGGTCAGGAGGCAAGAGCATCAACGCGAAAGCATACACTGAGCCTCGAGAAACACATGGAGGATTTGCCAGATGGATCCTGGCAAATAGCATAGTTGTGTAAGATGTTTTTGACTCCCTCTGTCAGTTCTGCCCCTCTCCTGAAAGATAATTGATGGAAGGTCCTGGACTGACAAGCTCGCTTCCCTGGTTGCTGGGGCAGACCCTAAAGCTGTCAAGCTGCAGAAAGCAGGCATGGCTGTTCCCAACAAGACACACAGCCTGTCATCTTTGAGAGGAATGAAACAAATGAGCAGTTTCATAATACCCTTTTTTTGGTTTTATGCAGGGTAACAACTTAAAACTGAGCCTCACACCTCCAAAGGCACTGATTCATTTCACGTGCACTCTTACATTGCTCTTAGTCTTTACAGATTATGCAGCTGTATACTTCTTCAGAGGGCTTTCTTTATGCTCGCTTCTTGATTTGCTGCCCTTAAAATGTCAAAAGATAATGAAAGTGGGGTTCTGCTCTTAAAAAAAGCCCAGAAGAAGTAAAAACAATGACACTTGTGACTCATTGCAAGACTACATAAAAGCTTTACCTTCATCTGCTGCTCTGGGGGTGATCCAGCTCAGTTGAGCGCTGCCACATGGCAATAGCCATCTGTGTTTGCTGTAAATATTTGGTTTTTTAATTACAAATGCCTTGATTTAGAAGACTTTAAACCATGCAGTGGGGTGGCTGTGGGCCCACAGGGGCGGGTGGGGAGCTCCTGAGAAGGTAGATTTTGCCCAACCACTGTTGCCAGGTCAGAAAAGGGAGTGTAATGCTGAGAGAGCAAACCAGGCTGCCTTGCAGCAGTCTGGACTCTGCTGCTTCTTCCATGGACATGAGAGTGCCAGGGAACGCTGCAGGGGGGCTCCGAACATGAAGCAAAGGAAAAGGGTTAAGAAAAGAGGCAAGGAAAAGCCAGGGTTTATCTTTGAGGAGAAAGAAGGAAAGGGGGCTGCTAAATGTCATTTATCCCTCATGGTTTTCATACAGTAAATAATGTCAAGCGTTGCTACATGGTGAGAGTCCTACACGTATCTCACTGCAGGATGGCACCCGCTGTGGAGCTGGAGGTGACACAGAGGTGCAATACATCCTCAGGTGGAAAAATCCAGAGCTTATTGGTCCACAGTGGAGGATCCAGTGTGGGCATCCCATAGGCTCCTGTCCTCTGCTGAAGTCCAGCCAGTTTTCCACCCAGGCTGTCCCTCCTGCCAGTGCTGCTCATCTGCCTACCTTTCAGCTGCTCCGGTACTATTTGCTCTCTAAGATCTCCCATAAACTCAGAGGTCTGTGTCCCAAAACTGGCAGTGAAAAAGGAGCAAGAGAAATAGGCAGGGAGAAGAGAGTCAAGCCCCCTTTTCTTTCTTTCTGCAGTGAAAGACTGGGGCACAATGGCAGTGGGCAATTGTGGAACTTAAAGAATTTGGAGATCTCCAGTTTCCATGATAGAATGCATGTTCACTTTATTCTTAAAGTAAGAAGCAGGCATGTTGAAGATGCGGTGCACGATGCAAAGCTGTGAAGTCTCCTTGCCTGCCTTTGTGAGGGCAGGGAGTGGGTACAAAGGTGTGTATCTCCCATACTCTTGTACTCTAGAAGAAGCCACCACGGCCATTTACTTTCCTCACAGCTGATGCTTTGGCACTCACTTAATGGGACCAGACGCCTTTGGCCAGGAGAAACTTTAGTCCCATTGATGACCTGTGGGATAGAA